TATTTCATTACATTTATATACCATAATTTGTTCAGCCATTTCCCAATTAATGGGCACCTATTTAGTTTCTGTTTGTTTGCTACAACAAAAAGTTCTACTTTAAATATGTTTTTTTTTAATAGGAGTCCTTTTTACCTTTCTTTAATCTCTCTGAGGAATAGGTCTAGAATTGTAATGTAGTCAAAGGGTATGCAGTTTAGTTACTCTTTAGGTATACTTCCAGATTGCTTTCTAGAATGGAATAGACCAGTCCACAACCCTGCCAATGGTGCGTTAACGTGCTGGTCTTCCCAAAGCCCTTCCAGTTATTGTCATTTTCTGGTTTTGTCATCTTTACTGTTCTGATGCATATGAGGTAAAACTTCAGAGTTGTTTTAATTTGAGTTTCTCTTAAGTGATTTGGAGCATCCCCCCCCCCATATAATTGTTGATTAGTTTGCTTTACTTCTTTAAGAATTGCCTACTTATATCTCATGAACATTTAGCTATAGAACAATGGCTCTTATTCTTACGTATTTGAATAAATTCTCTATATATCTGCTCTCAGGGAAACTTGCTTGTAAAGTCCCCCAGCCTTGTTTCCCTCCTAATTTTTTGTATATCCTAATTAAAAGAAAAAGGTGTTAAGTTGCACACCTGCTTTCCCCATGTTTTTCATAGAATTTTCCTTTTTTTTCCTTTCTCTTTTATAATCATCATATCAGAACAGAATTATGCCCGAGCTCAATCTTATATAATTTCCTATGTAACCCTTGAAGAAATTAGGATTTTAAATATATACTTATCTTTTTTCTTTCTATTAGAATTGCATTACTTCATCATTTTTAACCCCTTCCCATTACTAAAATGCATTTACCTATCTTAGTTTTTCTTGATTTCTGTCCTTGCAATTCAGAGTTTCACCTTAGCTTTGATCTTTCCATCTGGATGCTAGGAAGTCCTGTCTTCCATTAAAAATCCATTTTTTCCAGGAAAGATTAAACCCAGTCTTGCAGGATAAGTTATTCTTGGTTCTAAATCTGTATTTCTTGACTTTGGAATACTATATTCCTAGATTTTCTCTTTTTTTGAATAGTTGTTGCCAAGTCTTATTTTGACTGTAGTCCCTTGGGACTTGAATTGTTTCTGACTTCTTGCAGTATTTTTCTTTTGAAATGGCAGTTCTGAATTTTGGCTATGACATCCTTTGTTATTTCAGTTTGGGGGTTTCTTTCAGAAAGTGACTGATGGATTCTTTTTATTTTCTCTTTGTTCTTTATTTCCATTAATTGGAAATATACTAGAGTAAGTCAGTTTTCATTTATTCTTTCTTGAAATATGGTATCCAGGCTTGGGGGGGGGCAATATTTTTCAGGGAATTATGATCTCTTTCCCATTTTCCAGCTTACTTGTTTTTTTGTAGTAGTAGATATGTTACATTTTCTTCAATTACTGCTTTTCTGTATTTTGGTTTTGTTGTAGTATTTCTTGTTTCAAAGAAGTTTTGAGTTTTGTTTGTTCTATTCCCATTTCCTGAGGGTCTATTTCTTGTTTTCTTCCTCCTACTATAAGTTATTTTTTCTCCTTCCTGTTCTTTCTTTCAGAGGTTTTATTTAATTTATAATTTTATTTTTATCTGTCATTTCATTTCTTCCAAGTATTCTTGAATTCCTTGTGACCAAGATATACATGGAGAGAGAGAGAGAGAGATGTATAGGTGTATAGATAGATGTATAGGGGTATATATGTGTCTATATACACACACACACACACACACACACACACACACACACACACATATACACGCCACATTGATTCATTGATTGATTGATTGATTGATTCATTCGTTTATTTCTTTATTTGCCCTAAGGCTCTGCTTGTAGTAGTTGTGGGATTTTTCTTTTCTTATGTGCTTTTTCCTTGGGTTTATTTTGACCCATGATATTTCTTCGTAGAGTTCAGTACCTTCTTTTCTTTCCTTATATCTTAGACCTCTGTTGGATTGAGTTTTTGTTCCAGGGCTCTGTGCCACCCTTGGGTATCTGTAGCTGACCTTCACCTCCTTTGATGTTTCCCAGTGAATCCCTGTATCCCAGGATACAGGGTTGCTTGGTAATTTCATTCTCCTCTGAAACTTCCCCCAGGCCAGGTTCTGCTGCAGGCTTCTCTTATTCACCTTGGTTTCCTCGGCCTCAGTACTGCTAGAGGCTTTCAGCCCATTCACTTGAACTCACACTGGCTTACTGAAGAAGATGCTTCTTCTGCTCTTAATACCTTCTGGCTGCCTTTGTGTATAGGCCTGAGTTGGATGAAATATCTTATTGATATTCCTCTTTGATTTTCGTGTTTCAGACAGTTGATGTTTTCTCATATTCAGTTATAATTTGGTACAATTCAATTAATTTTAACATTCTTACTGACTATGGAAAAAAGCATTATGCTGAATGTTGGAGTGATGCAAAGATTAATACAAAAGTTTTTGCCTTCACAGAGCTTACCATGTACTGGGAGATAAATAGAAAACAGAATAAGCAAGCAGAGGAAAGGTATTAACAAAATTCCTCAAAAGATCTGAAGAAAGAAGGAAGCTTATTTTCAGCTGAATGAGGAGGATCTAGGAAAGGTCTTATGAAAGCAGGTAGCATTCATTCTGAGTCTTGAGAGGTGATACCTAAAATATCCCTTCTATGTGTTAGCAATAGTAATGTAACTTAAACTTCAAGATCTTTTTCTAGGAAAGATGAATGAGGTCAATTCCAGTTCTACAAGAGGAGAGAGAGACAGACAGACATAGACACACATAGAAAGGAGAGAGAGATTATTTCAGGCATAGAAACCTATTTCACTGTATGCTTAATTTAATCACTTTGTACCCACACTTGGGCCTCCAGGGTTTTCCTTTTATATCATGCAGTCGGTTGCCACAAACATCTGCCTCTTTAGGAACTTCCCTTCTTCCCAGACTGGTTTTTAGTTTCATTCCTCCCAGTTCTTTGTCCCTTCTACTTTTAAATACTTGTATTACTCAGAAAGTAGTCTTAATGTCCAAAAGCAAAAGATCTGGATTCTAGTACTCCTGTCATGTATTATGTCAGCCTTTTGACTTGGCTATTAATCTCACTTAACGGGATCTGTAAAGTAAAGGGTTTTAGGTTTGATGAAATCTCTCAGCTCTAAAAGTTTGACTTCTGTGTGTCTTCTCCAAAAAGACCACCCATCTACTGGGCAAACCAGCCAAGGCTGTATGACCATACCATTCATTATGATAAATACATGTTTTTGTGTGATCAGAAGGTTCAATAAAGTTTTGTTTAAGTCTTTTAATCTCCCTTGTTGTTTTAATATTTCTATGAGAACTACGTGTCCTGGTAAATTAGAATAGTAAGTCAATTCAGAGAGCTTATTGTGAGTAGAAACACTGTTAGGTTTTGGAGGAAACAGATAACTAAGGCATAGTTATTATGGTGGGAACTGGTGCTGTCTAATAGGGAGATAAAATAAATAAATGAATATATATATTCCCCCCTTTATTCAGCATAGAATCTCCCAAGTATGTAGAGTAGGTATAAACAGAATATTACGGAAGAACTAAGGAAAGAAAGATCATTTATGAATGAAGGAGGTCAAGGTGGAATTGATCTAGGTCTAAAAGGTTAAATAGGGTTTTTCAGCAGACAGGGTTGGGTTTGAAAAAGAAGGGCTGTTTCAGGAATAGGGAAGGATATGTGAAAGTATAGAGGTAAGAAAGTACTGGGTATTATCAGGGAGCCAAGAAAATATAGTTCATTGTATTAGAGCCTGGAGTATTTGGGTGGGAGCAGTATGAGATGAGTTTGGAAAGGTAGGATTATTAACCATAAATGGATTTTGACTGCCAGACAAAGACGTTCATCCACTGTAGTGGGCCATTGAAACAAAGGTGTGATGCTACTGAATCTGGGCATAAAAAAGATTAATTTGGCAAGTGGCATGGAGGACAGTGAGAGGGGGCTAAAGACATATTGGAAGGTCCAGGGATCTGGTAATTCTGTTACTAATGCATGGTTCTGGTGGTCAGCTTAGTCTACTTGCTGTAGTCTTCTTCTTCTTATTTTTTTTTTAAAGCAGTTGGGGTTAAGTAACTTGCCCTGGGTCATAGAGCTAGTGAGTGTCAAGTGTTGGTCTGAAGCCGAATTTGAACTCAGTTCCTCCTGATTTCAGGGCTGGTGCTCTATCCACTGTGCCACCTAGCTGCTGCTATATTATTCTTAACAGGAATTTTTTAAAAAGCAAGATTAAAGTGCTCTTTAAAGGGTTTTTAAGTCCCTGTCATGAGTTTATAAAGCCATTTTTATATATGAGAAATAAAGACAACTTGGCTCTGTCATTATGCCAATTTTGCTATGACATCTTTGCCATAGATAGAAGTGCTCATGACTCTTGGCCAACCCAAGACTTTACAGAATTTCATAGCTTAAATATATTTACCATTAATTAGTTATTTACCAATAATTAGCAGGTTTCCTAGAAAATAAATACATACTAAGAAAGAAATATTTAGGAAGATGAATTGGTATAAAATTTCTGGACTAAAAAGTGAAATATAAACGTTGCCAAATGAACACCACACAGTGATAGCTGAAATGTAAACAGTGTATTTTTGGTTTACTCTTAATCTAGCAGATGGTCTTCTTTAGAAAGAATTCTAAGATTCTCATCTGGTTAGGATTGGAATCCCACAACATAAACCTATTCTTAAGACCAGTGAGAATTAGACTGAAATCAATCCCTTTTAGGCTGGACCTTTTTAGAAATTGAGTTATAAACATTATATTTTGGGTTTGGTCTGAGGAGAGGAATGATAAGATTTTAAAGAGGTACAGTTTCATGGGCTGGTATTGAAGATATTGTGCAGAATAATTTTATGGAAATATTTTAAGTACTTTATACATTTGTATTTATTAATTTTATTTTTATATTATACATACTTTTATAAAGATTTGTCTCCCTTATTGGAATATAAACTTTCAGGTAGGGATAATTTCATTATTCTAATCTAGCCTGCTTAATTAATAAATAAATACTTGATTGATTGATAAAAGAATTTCCCCAATCCATCCCATTCACTGCCAGCAATAAACAGCAGACCATCTTCTCTAGAATATTTCCCTTCTTTACATGTTATTTGCTCCCATCACTCAGTTTGAGCCAACATGTAAGGAAAATGAGGGGATGCTTAGATTGTTAGAACCCTTTGGGGTTCGATCTTCTCACTTTGCCCACGTTTGGGGTACTGAGAGTACTGGACTTAACTTCAGGAGATCTAGGGGTTAGATCCAGGTGATACCACTTAAACTGCGATCCTTGGCAGGTCACGACCTCTGGCCCCTCACTTTCTTTATCTGTAAAATGGGAATAATAGTACTACTTTGAATGGTTGCAAGTAAAATATTTTACAAATCTTACAAGCACTATATAAATCGAATGGCTTAAAAAAAAAAAAGGACCTGTGATTTCATCACCTATTCTGCAACTGCTAGTCATAGAGATTTGTTTGGGGCACTGAGAAGTTAATTGATTTGCTCAGGGTCACACCCTATGTCAGAAATGGGTCTTGAACCAGAGCTTCCTGACCAAGCAGACTAGATATCTGTTATGCACTCAGCTGACTTTATGAATGAATTATCATTATTGTATCTTAAGTTGTGCATCTGCATGAAAATGTAAATAAGAAGCAGACCTGTGTCGTAGAGATTAGGGTTCTAAGGGAGTTTACAGAAAGAAGTAAAAGCTTGTATTCATTTGAGGTATCTGGGAATGGCCTAGTCCAGAGAGCATCAAGGTGGAAATACATTAGGGTATACATTTCATAAATTTATAAAATACATAGTGTATATTATATATTTAAAAATGTATTTTAAATATATTGCATGTTATATAAATATTAAACATTAATATGAAATAGATTTATAACATACAAATTTTATAAATATATTACCAATAGATATGAAAATTTAGCCAGTATTGACAATACTTGTACATGTCCACCACACTGAAGGGATAGTAGTGCTTTCCCCCAAGTCTTCTGGCCTTGTATCACCACACTTGATGGAACTTTGCCAACCAGAACAGTATGAATCCCTGCATTTATGGTACAGTCATAAATGTGCTTGCTCACCTGGACATAAATGCCATCCCTGATGGTTTTCTTGTCATCATTCCACTCTCCTGGAGTCCAGACACAAATTGTTGCTATATCTTAGAGGAGAGAGAAACAGAATTTATGTGGACCTTATTGGAGACATACATGATACCTTTATGTGGTTGTGGAAATATTTGGATTCCATATGTATGCAAATTGTGAACTCATATAGGTTGGTAAAAGCTTACAGCATGACGGCCTCATTTTAGTCCCTTCCCTAATGACAACTTCACCAGCAAATAGCCTCTTGTTATCATGGGTCTCCCTCCTCATGAGGCCTTATGTTCTAAGGTCTAAAGCCTTCTCTTTCTCCCTTCCTCTCCTCTACCTGACTCTGTCTTAAAATTTTTGGCTGGGGAAGGCTTTTTGTTCCTGCGTGGTGGTGAAAGAATTGTGAGTTTTGGTTCTTGGAAGAAGTCCTGTCTGCTTCTTCCTTGAAGACTGTATGATAAGAAGGGTTGAATCATGTCAGCTGTCTTGCAGAGGTTTGGGGAAAGGCTTTGTTGTGAAATGATCAGATTCCTTAAAGACTACACGAGGTAATAAGAAATACATGTTACACGGAAAACTACTTCCATACTTGACCTGTGCATGCTGCCCTGCTAAAAACACATAAAGCATCTCACGATCCCTATAAATGAAGAGTTTAGAGCAGCCTTTAGGATTTACTGTAAAATTCTATAAGAACCTTCTTCCCCCACCTTCTGTTTTCCTGCCTGATGAAAAATATAAAACCAGTGATAACAAGGAAAATCTCTATCCTTATTATGTTGCTTAAGAAATAAATAAAATGGGGCAGCTAAGTGGTACAGTGGATAGAGCTCCAGCCTTGGAGTCAGGAGGACCTGAGTTTAAATCTGGCCTCATACACTTGACACTTACTAGCTGTGTGACCCTGGGCAAATCACTTAACCCCGCTTGCCTAAACAAAAAAAGAAAGAAAAAAATACAATAAAATAGTGTCTGAGTGGCCATTTTTTCCTGTTTTTTCTTTTCTTTACTTAGATTTTTGGGGGAAATTGTTAAAAATTGTATTACAGCTTTATGTTTACAGAATGATGTTTTTCAGAGCACTTTCTAATGTTATGTAGTTTGAATCACAACAATCTTGAAGTAGGTTAGGTGTATGTATTATAATCTGCATTTTATAGGTAAAAGTTAAGTCATAGAACTGAATTACTAGTAGAGTGAGAACTAGAAGCCAGGTTTTCTGATTTAGTAAAGGACTGAATGGAAGGTGTGAAAATCCTAGGAGCATTTCACTATGCTACATTGACTTTAAAGAAAAAAACCTCAACAAACAGTTCAGTATGAGTGATAGAGACTAGACATGTGATTTCATTAGTATAGGGAATGACTAAGTGAGTAAACTCCATTTACCAAGTATCAAGTTGATACCTTTTCTGCAACTTAATGGTCTCAGTTGGACAGAGCACTTAGAGGTTAAATGATTTTGTTCACCATCACCCAGACAGTATGTGTCAAAGATGGTATTTGAACCTGAGTCTCTGGGCTCCTTAGACCACTTCTCTATCTAATACATTCCATTGCCAAATCTTACTTAGTATGATGAGGCATATTTTTTATTGTGAAAGGATTCTTATAATTTTCTTAAATATATTATATATAGCTTAGCTACCTTCCATAAAATTGCTGTTCTCCATTCAGACCTGAGCTAAGCTAGTATGATATTTCAGTGATTCATTCTAAAGTAATACTGTGTTTATTGATATTCTTACATAGAACAAAAGCAAATGAATGAAAAATAGATTTATTTGACACTTAGGATAAAGTGATATTTCTTTGATTATCTCTTTTTAATGCAGCTATTAGCTTAACATTTTCTTTGTTAGGATACAAAGGATATTTAAACATGAAATCATTCAAGCCAAATAAATCTTAATAAGTTAGCTACTTTAGGTATTAAATACATCAAGGAGAAATAAGTTAATCAAAACAATTTGAAGCTAATTATGATTTCCACATCTACATAGTAATTTACTTTTCCTTTGAAGTGATCTGTAAAGACTGTGAGGTTATTTTTAAAAATGTACATATGCATTCTAATGTATTCTTTCAAAACACTTGCCTAAAGTCATGTGTTACTCTTCATGTAAAAAAAAAATCTAGCATTTTTAAATGATGAATAGAGTGCATTTCATTTTTCTCTAGAGTCATTGATTAATTTAAAGCACTGTGATAGTTTCTTTAAATTTTTACATTTTTGCTTAATTAAAATAAAAGGTTTTTTTTCCTTTTTCTATATCTTCTCCATTCTCTAGTGGGTTTTGACAGTGATGAAAGACAAAATTTATTTATTTTTTTACTGACCTTTAATATTTTTGAAAAGTTCTATTCTGATGCCACATCACTGCTAGGTTATGACCCTAGATTCTTAAAGGCTATGTCAGTTCTACCAAGCAGGAAATACTTTTAATGTAGACCTTGGAAATTATTGTGTCTTCTACCTAGGGACTGGTTTTAATCTCAAAAAAAATCTCATTATAAGAAGGTTAGCAACTAGAATGTATGTGTATGTGTACATATACATGTATATGTATAGATATATGTATGTGTATATATGTCTACATATGTATGTACGTGTATATGCAGAGGCAGCTGGTGGTACAGTAGATAGTATAGACATATTTGTGTATATATTTTGATATGTATGTATGTGTATTCTGAGGCAGTTGATGTTACAGTGGACAAGAATGTTGAGATTGGAGTCAGACCTGAGTTCAAATTTGGATGTAGTCAGTTACTAGCATTGTTACTCTGGACAAGTCACTTAACCTCTACCTCAGTTTTCTCAATCATAAAATAGAGATCATACTAGGACCTACCATGCAGGTTTGTGAACATAAAATGAGATAATTTTTGTGTATAGATAGTTCCTTGGCACATAGTAGGAGCTATAAAAATTATTATATTGTGTGTGTTCTATTTGACCACGCAGTATTTGATTTTCTTTTTCTCTTATATTTTGCATTAAAGCACCAGAATTTTAGGCATGGATATGGTCCTTCCACTGCTCCTTCAGATTTTCATTTGCATAAAATATTACTACTGAATAATTGCAGCTCTTTACCTTTGTCAAAGAATTGATGTGAAGAGGTCACACTATACCAAAATACCCAAATAGGGAACAAGTGGGTTTGTGAATTTTAGAAACTCTAGAATCTAGTCCTAGTTAATTATACAAAAACCACAGCAGTAATAGTTATCGTGAACATTATAGACTTCTGGAACTATGGATAGAAAGACTGAAATGTCCTAATCGGCTGTGAAATTTATCATCCTGACCCTCTGGTATTCTTCCTAATGAGTGCTTTCATATGATATTGTAATACTTTGATACTGTCTTTCTTTTCTAAAAACATCTTTAGTCGAGAAGATATTCTTCATCTTGATAGTATTCAGTAAAATTGGTGAAGAGCAAATGATAGTTGACATTTACCTAGTTCTTGACAGTTTGCTAATTCTCACAACAACCCTGTAAGGAAGGTGGGATAGGAACAGAGACTAGACTTAGGATTTTGTTGGTTAAAGGGAACTACCAGGTGAGATCACTTCTCTACCAGTGCAGGGCAACACCTTTTCTCAAAATTAATAACCTTAGTAGTTGTCTTAAGAAATAAGAGGCCTTGACGGGGGCCACACAGACGGTATCAGACATGTCGCTTGGACTCAAGTATTCTTGACTTTCAAGACCAGCACTTTTCAGAAGTGAAATAAGAGATTGGATTTGGAGTCCGAGGCCATCAGTTTGAATCCTGGCTCTGTCATTTGCCCCCTATGTGACCTTGGGTAAGTCATTTCATGTTGCTGGCACTCAAGTTTCCTCCTCAATATAATGTGGCAGTTAAACTAGATAACTTCTAGGATTCTTTTACCCTCCAAGTCCACCATTCCATGGACTCACATTCCCAGTGAGGCTCTTGACAGGTATTATAGGAATGCTAACCTACGTGCAAAATTTATTCAATACTATGAATAAATTAGGTCATTATAACTTTACAACAATGTGACCAAACCAACTTTTACAAGACTGCCAGGAAATCCCCTGCCTTATTAAAGATCATAGAGGAGTTTTGAAAATGGATAACAAATTGATCCTTTTTGAATTGTTGAAAAATACCCAAGTCCTCTCATTAATTCATCAAGATTCCGAAAGTGCCACTAAAGAAAATTGGAATAGAGGAGGGGATACTATATAGAAAAGTGGCATCTTCTTTATAAGTGTGCATTCTGGTCATCTGACAAGAGAGACTTTGTACATCAGGTGAATTCCATAGCAAATGTTTCAGTCTACCATTGTGTCTAATATTTACTATATGAAATATGCATATCTGATGCAGGAAATAACATAGGTAATTTTGAGGAAGAGCTATGATGCGAAGATGGAATTACAGTGCTGGTAAATCACTTTCTTCCTATGTTGAATTCAGCAATGTTTGTAATACTAAAACACTTAAAATCCTACATCTTTACTGGAGCAGTATAGGTGCATTCTAAGAATATTGACCTCTATAAGAGAATTAACTTATTAGCTAATTTTATTACCAAAAATCAACCATCAATCAATAAGCATTTTTGAATGAATGAATGAAAATAATATTTACTATGTGCAAAGCACTATGCTAAGTGTTAAGGATACAAACAGAAAAACAATGATAGTCTCTGATTTTGAGGAAGTCACATCTCGTGAGGGTGGCTGTTTTGAACAACTCTGCGTTTCTTAAATCCAGTTCATGGGCTAGTCAAGCCATCACCTGTGATGTCTTTGGTCCTCTTCAAAAATGAAGGATGAATGGCATTCTGGTAGGAGGAGGCAACACATATAGGCGATTTCAGCTGCAATTCAGATAGAAAAGAGTGTAGCAGCAAAACAGATGTTAATACAACCCTTCTTTAATTTTTTCTTTTGTGCTGGTCAAATCATATCTGTTTCTAATTTTAAAACATTTGACAGTGCCAAGGACTTTCATGTCAAGAACTTTCTTTCCTCTCTCTTTAGTAGTTGTGGCTGCTAAGGAGATAGAACCTGCAGCAT